TTCGAACTCCGTCATTTGATGTGCATCCAATGATAGTTTATCTATGAATAGAACTGCACAGTTCTATTCATAGATGAACTATCATTGGAAGTTTCATCATCGCACAGGCAACGTTTTGTTACATTTTCTCGAAAATGGAGTTGAAAGTAAATCACTACCACATTTTCTTTCTTTTTTAAAAAATAATGATTCACATTACTAATGAAATGATAAGTTGAGGCAGACGTGCAGCTTATAAAAGTGATTGATTGATTTTGTTTTTCTGTACCTTTTCTGACACACTTCCAAACATTCCGTGAGGACGATCTATTTTCCAGTTTAACGTCATTGGGGACAGAGAGTACCGAAAGAATTTAGGTACATAAAAAAAAAAATTTCTTAAAGCTGTTCAAATTTAGACCTCAACGGTAATTCAATTTATTATTCGATTTCGAATTTTGCGTACACTCTTAATTGTTAAAGAGTCGAATATTGACAAGAGAAATGATGGTAGAAAACTGCTAAGTGAGCGATATAAAAGTAAATTATTCGATTTACAATTATACTTGTGAATATTACAGTAAATAAAAGTTGATATTGATTGTATGGACCAAGATAGGGTATATAAAATAGTACTAATCGGCATAGTTGTAGTCTTTTAATTAAGATTCGATTTGATTTAAGTAAAATATACAGTTCAATCGTTCCAAGGATAGTGAATGTGAATGTACACATCGCAATTTCAAGTTTTCGGTAAAAGCTAGAACCAATCTGAATACTGTTTAGATTAGCTAGAAGATTTTTCTATCAGATGAGGTGCACATCGCCATTTTATGAGAAAACTTGATAATAGGGTTTCTAGAAAATCTCACCGCTAGAAAACAAAGTCTTTGGTTTTACGTCAGAAACTTTTGCAAAGTATATAGCCTGATAAAACAAAAAATTGTGCGCAAAATAAGATGTCTCCCGGCCGGCTATAGCGTTTTTTCACTCAACTGTTTCTAGCGGTCAGATTTTTCAGAAACCCGATGATCAAGTTTTCTCATAAAATGACGATATGCACCTTATCTGATAGAAAAATCTTCTGGCTAATCTAAACAGTATTCAGCTTTTACCGAAAAATCGAAAACAAAGCGATTCCTGTGATTATGACACACGCATATATAACATCCAAACACTTCTCTTGCATGTCTTAATGATTGGTCCCACCTGTCTAGATTCTCTGACCAGCTGACTTTGTAGAGAATTTCATGAGTTTCCTAATGATATACAATATGTCAACATGTAAGCAAACAGAAATCTTTTTCTTTACACATGACAGAAACAAAATACTTATATTCTATCGAAAAAATTTTGTTTATATTTGTTTGACTGTAAGCTTATACGAGAACGAGAGCAAACAGTTGATAAAAGATACATAGGTTTATAGTAAGACACGAGTGAGTGATCTTAGTATTTTTATTCTAATCATCGTTCACATCTATTGTTAGGTCATGAGACCTAAAACGGATCTACATGCTACGTCTTTGAGGCAATTGGACTGATATATAAAAGAACCATTTCCTTGTTAGGAAACGTATGCCTCATGTTATGGCTATTTCATAATGTCTTCCTGTGACACCATTGTTTATATTACATCATGTTTTCCTGTTACGTTATCTTTCCTATTATATCTTACATATCTTTCTCGACTATATATATACAGGCGTGTATCTGTTTGGTGCGTGTGCTTTTGATTTCTCAATAAACCATTTGTACATACAAGTGAAGATTCGAACAAGTTAGATGGAGCCCAACACCTGTCTTCAGCCTAAATGATTAATCATCACAACGTATCAAAATTATTGTCAGAGCGCCAGTTCGCATAAGAGCTGAAATTGGCCCACCAACTTTTAGCATTCCAATCTGCCCAAAACGCATCAGAATCATCGTTGTCACACTTATGAGCGGCTGCGGTCCAACATATCCGACAGAATCTACTCGAAAAGAAAGAACTCCTTAGCACCATCAGTATGACTTTGGAACCGAAATTTCTCTGTAACTATCCATATTTTGCCTAGTCCAACACACAACGGGATGTGCCTTGAAAAGCTCTAGAATATGTGTTAATAGGAAACTTGACGAAGTCTGACAGCGGTCTTTATGAATTAAATACTTCGCCGCTTAAGCTGAATAGAATTTGTACATCGTGTTCTGCTTTAACAACTTCTGCGAAAGATATATCACATATAGTAGGATAAATGATATGATATATGATGGTGAAAAAGTAGAAATTACTATTTCTTTATACATCAATAAGATATACAACTTTTACTGATAGTATATAATATACGATGTACTAACAGAAGAGAGATTGTATTTTCATCCGTACAGTTGTTAGTACATTCATAGAGACATAATTACTCTATTATTCTTTCTTGCTTGCTATCATGACAAACTTAAATTATCTTTCGCTATTTTTAGCAACTACCGTATTTGTGGTTAATAACGCAGGTGAGTATGCATTTATCAAATAATTTGTTCTGGTCATACACTCTTAATCTATAAAATGTAGGACCAACCATCCTTCATGGCAATGCATCATATTATGGAGCATCGACACCAAAAATTCCGGGACGTTCAAAACTCTTTGTCGATCTCAAAAATGATAGAGGAAAAGTACTGGCTAAATCAAGTTCAAATGCTAAAAAATTTCCCATCAAATTTCAACTAAAATATTCTGCGGATAAACTGGATAAAAACAGTAATTATTCATTAACTGCATCAATTAAATCTGCTAATAAGAAGTTATTGTACGCAAACAATGTTGATATGCCATTGATTTTATACGGAAATAGTAAAACGACTCATGTTCATGTGCAAATGGTTGATTCAGGTTGGTAAAGTAACAAATAACCTTTCATTTTCGCGTCAAATTGCTCTTTTAGTTCCATCGTATGCTAAATATCGCAAAGGTGTAATCCATAATATAAACGATTTGAAAGTGTATGATGTGGGGCAAAATTCATCCTCATCATCCATGGCTGTAATCATCCTCTATGATGCATTAGGATTTAATATTGAACAAACAAGAATGTTTGCTGAAAGATTAGCAGCTGAAACAAATGCACGAGTATTAATGCCCGACTTCTTTCGAGGTGAGTAATTAAGAGAATTAAAGATTTTAGCATGTATTGTAATGGCGAGAAAGAGAAAATAAGTCAAGATTGATTAGGTTTATTATTAACGGCATCTCTATTTTGTTTTTGAAATTATTCTTCTATTTCTGACTTAGGTAACGCATTGCCGTACAGCGCATTGCATCCATACCAACCCAAGGTTGTCACTACTTGGATAGAAAAATCACCCTCGTGGACAATGATTGAAAAAGAGCTTAAAATGTTATCGAAAGAACTGAGAGCTAGTGGAAAAATTAAGAAGTTAGCTGTGATCGGTTTTTGTTGGGGTGGTTTTCATGTAGTCAAAGCCTGTAGTGAGCCTCAACTGGTCGATTCGGGTATCAGCATTCACGGCTCAATGTTAAATATGACTAACCCCAACCAAATACAAAAGCCAATCATGTTTTTGAAAGGAAACAATGATCCGTCATTAAACGAAATCAAAGCCGTTCTGGATAAAAAACCATTTGGAAGTAAATGTGAATACAAGAACTATGAGAATATGGCTCATGGTTTTGTAACAGCGAAAGCAAATTTTCACTCGAAAGAAAATGTAGAAGCGATCGATGATGTTCATCAAAAATGTATTAAATTTCTTAAAAATACTACATAACAAGTTGTTCATCTTCAGCTATTTTTTGCTAGCACAAATGTAAAGTTTTTTACCATTATTTCAGAGTAAATTTGCATCATACATTCTTTATTGCGTAATTTATTGTTATTCTTTATTCAGCTATTTTGCTCGTCCAATAAGTATACGTATTATTTTCTGCAAGCTCGCAAGGCATTTATGATTAAGAAAGCTATACACGTTTATCATACAGTCCTGCTAATACACATATATTAACAATTTTAATTTGTCAAACTCATTAATTTTGAAATAAAAACAAATTATACGTTGAATGTTTTTCCTCAAAATCATACGAAAAAAGTAAGTATGCATCTGAAATTGGAGTCAAGTGTATTGTATACTACTCACGAGGGAAGGTACCCAACTGTCCGATCGCTTTCGAGCCGAAACCTAGTGGACTATAGGTAGTCGACCATGCTGATTCCGAATATCAACATGAGACGTGCTGCTAGGCCTCCAGAGAGTG